TGTTCTAGTTTTAGGGAAATGCGAAGTTTAGCTCAGGATAGGAAAGATTGGAGGTACGTGTCCAACCAGTCTTAGGACTGATGACCTTATGATGATGATGATATATATGTACCAATGTTGGTGTTTTGTTTGTTCTCAAATTCTGTAATTGATACTACGTTCAAGGTTAGCATTTGGGGAAGAAAAAAGTAAACTTAATATCTACTTTTTCCCTTTTATTTGTTATTTTGATGCGACTTCAGTTCTACAACTGACGACGATTCTTTTTTCTATTTCTGCATCATCAGATATATATCGAATAATGTTGTGCGACAAGAAATACGGACTGACAGTGAACTTAATGGCAACAAAAGTGATGCCATCGTTGTTGCCCCAAACGGTAAATCCTTCGTTAAATTTGGAACAGTTCACCATTTTGTTAGAAGTTCTTCAAGAGATGTTGGACCAAATAGATAGGAACCAGAGGAATAAATTGAAGCTGGACAACCTGTCCTTGCCCAGTCCCGAACGTCATAGGCCTTTGAGACACCAATTCAGCTCAGATAACATGCACGTTCCTCCATTCAACATCCCCAATTTGAGGATAGAACAGAGAAAGACTTCCAGTGCTGAAGATATGGCCAGGAAAAACTCAACAGGTATGTACAATTATTGTGTTTTTTATTACATATATATGGAAAAAAATAAAATTGCCGGCAAAAATTTAATAATTTCTAAATGTGGTGTTATAGGCGAATGATGAGCATACCGTGAATAGAGGTTAGAAATGATGAGATAATAGAGAGAATAGGAGAACAAAAATCACTCTGAAAGTCAATAATAAATAGGCGAGATAGGTGGGTAGAACACCTTCTCAAGCATGAAGGTCTAGTCAGAAACATATTAAAGGCAGAAACAGGAGTTAAGAGGAGTAGAGGCAGACCTACACAAATAGTTGAGGATATAAGATGCTCTAGTGTTAGGGAAATGCGAAAATTAGCTCAGGATAGGAAAGAGTAGGAGTCCAACCATGCTCTGGCCTGATGAGTTTATGATGATGATTATACCTACATTGTAAAAAAGTTGAATCAATTTCGGAAGGCGAAGTATATTATAAATTCTTGGATTGACATTGAACTACAGTAGAATCCGCTTATAATGACATCGAAGAGAAATGACAAATTATCAATGAATCATTTGGGTCACTATAGCCGGATATGGTTTCTTGAGAATAAGTCATAATAAACGGAGTAATTATATCCAAACTTTCTTATAGAGAATTTAATATGAAAACCAAACTTAACACTGCAATTACTTCGTATTAAGCGGTTGATCAATATAGGCGGAGTCATAATAAACGAATTCCACTGTA